GTATGCATGCTTTAATCTTGTCTAGACTGAGAGTAGGTCAGCGTGTCACACATTTTGTTACAATACTGGATTCAATAACGCATCAATCCAAGAGTGAGGACAACCTGTGGAGGCTCGAATCCAGGAAACACAGGAAGTGTTAAAGATGAAAAGGAAACTGTGCAGGTGTAGGCTGCGCTGTGATATCTGTGTCAGTGTTCAGCTTCCACTTTGTTAATAGTTTTTGAACTGCTGGCTATTAGATGGCATTCTGACAGGCATTAAGAACATGGGCTGTGTTTGCCCTGAACTGTGCATTTCAGGCAACCTGCTCTCACACGTCGTGTTCTACCACCAAAGACACTTTACATTACATATGGTTAGGTTTAGATTTAAGCACTGGTGGAGATTTATTCATCCCAAAAGTAGACGTGGAATGAGAGGGCGCATGAGAACTGCCTGCAAGGCTCAACTTAGGGCACAAGTCAGCTGAAAGTTTAATGTTTTACAAAGTCTCTGAGAAAAAACTAAACCAGATATTGTAACTGCAAGTTTTTCCCCACTGTGGTTAGACAGAGCTCGTTATCTCATTTTAAAGTGATGGCTGTTGGATGTAAAATGTAGATATTTGATGGGGGAAGGGTCCTGATGTCCAAGTGTAAAAACTCTGAGAAAAAATGGAAAAGTGTGCAAAAAAAGTACAACAGAGGAAAGAGGATAGATGTGTCACATCAGGGGCCCAGGGGAACATGATGACAGGGCAGGGGAAAACCAAGGGCACGGGGTTAATGCTGCTAAACTGAGTCACGTGCGGCTGAAATACCACACACTTCCATTCAATCACAAGAATGAGCTGTCAGGCTCCTGCTCCACCGCCACATATAGTGGCTCTATTCACTGGCAGTGAGGGAAGGAGAGAGAGCAGAGTATGTTATGTTTAGCCTGAGCGAGACAGACTGTCCTTTGAGGAGCGGTCGCCTTTGAAATGGGGTTGAGGAACATCCATGTCAAGAAAATATTGGCCTCTGAATTTCTGCTTCTTTGAACAAAACTCTGCTTTCATGTGTTTCTGGGCGTGTTGCTCTCTGGGTGATGGCGACGTCTTCATTCTCTCAGGACACATCTGAGAGCAAACATCTGGGATTTAGACCATCCCTCTGAATCTGCATTTCACCGCCGCAGTGTGGCGCTGTTACAGTTTACTCTGACATCTGCTGCTGAGCCACACCACGCACACAGAAACGCACAACAGTCCGTGCACGGGGCCAGTGCGAGCAGGAACCCCCACACGCGCACGTAGCACAGACCTGAGAGGTCGCGTGAGTGTTTTACTTGCGTCACGCTGACATTATCACAGAGCAGGTGATTATAAAACTTTTTTCCTACCAGCAAACGAAACCCTGTGATTTGGTGTATAAGCGCTCACAGCCTACCCGGGCTGCTGC